AGAAAAATCTAAAACCATTTTTAGATAGTTTTTTCAATACATCAATGCTACTAATTCGGATTTAGGCTATATATATAGAGTATATATCTATGTATACACACTTTAGATAGTTTAGTCTTTTTTTATGCATTGTATATATTATGCTATATTTTTTGGATATACGTAGTATATGTTTACATTTTTATCCAAAAAAATACGGAGTAAGAAAAGACTGTGACTTTAGTATTAATTTGTTCTAACAACTTGTATACCAAACAAAACTAAATAAAAAAGTCGGCTGTTCACCAAACAATTAACACCTTTTCTTTTTAAGATATTTTCAGTCACTAAAAACTAACAGTTACTAAAAAGCTCACAAAGTATCTTTTCAGCTATTTGTGCCAAATATACCCTAATGTTTACAATTAGCTAGAGTTCATTTCCGTAAAATAGTATTGAAATCGAACTTAAATTTGTGATAGTTTGAATGTCTATATCATGGCACCTCGCCACTATGATACTATGTACTCCAAACTCCCGTATCTTAAAACTTTGTCAACTTCGTACTATGATACTACATCTTTGATGTTTTCTGTCAACAATGTTCAACATTGACCAATTATATATTATTATAGGGAACTATTTATAATATAAAAATTATATGAAAACATTCTTTGTTAAAAGTACTTCCATAATGTATAAAATTTTGAACTTTCATAATACTTGGTATTATACTAATCAAAATAATGGTCCAAACTTTATACCATTGATTTGAAAAGTAAATGATCTCAAAGTTCTTAGAGACCGAGATAGTTCTACATAATAAAGTTTCTCCAATAAGACATTTTTGTTTTCTTCAAAAATATGATTGATCTGCTCCTTAAAGTTGGAGATTGTGTTGTTTTCATTCTTTTGTTAAGACTAAACGACTCCTACTCCAAGAAAATTAAAATTTCGTTAATCTGAATTTTGTTTATATTCTAAGATATTTTGAATTAAACTTAATTAAGATAATACGTACTTCATTGTAAAATATACTCTATATTTCCAATGAGTTTAGGCATCTATTAGAGTTGAGACCAGATCAGATCACACTATATCAAACCACCAAATTTAAGTCCAATTACAAACATAATTAAATAGGGCTATATAAATTAAATCAATTTCTTTTTTTCTCAAATTGATGTTTTAAATTTGATGGAATTAGGTGCGTGTACCAAGACGAAGATGAAGAGCGGCACAAGGGACTGAAGATAAGCAAAGAGGTGGTGGAAATCGGCGGCGACGCGCTGAAGACAAACATCACCACCCTGGGGCCCCTGGTCCTCCCCTTCTCGGAGCAGCTCATCTTCTTCGCCAACCTCATCGCCTCCAAAACGAAATCCCCGAAGAAGCCCTACATCCCGGACTACAAGCTGGCCTTCGACCACTTCTGCGTCCACGCCGCCAGCAAGACCATCCTGGACGAGCTCCAGCGCAACCTCGGCCTCACCGACGCCAACATGGAGGCCTCCCGCGCCTCCCTCCACCGCTTCGGCAACAACTCCAGCAGCAGCATCTGGTACGAGCTCGCTTACATGGAGGCCAAGGGCGCCGTTAAGCGCAACCACCGCGTTTGGCAGATTGCCTTCGGCTCCGGCTTGAAGTGCAACAGCGCCGTCTGGAAGGCCGTCCGCCGGGTTAGGAAACCCACCCACAGGAACCCTTGGCTCGACCGCCTTGATGCCTACCCGCAGGCTCTCTACCCCTGATCCTATCTTATTTTAAATTATTCCACAAACCATTTATTATCATCACAATATTTATAATTATCAATCCTGTTTAATTGTTACTTTAATTTGTATATGCATCAAAGCATGCATGCACGCACGTACGTACTATATCTTGTTATTACGTCTATTAAATGCCGGCCGGCCGGTAAAACACTACGAGTTAGCTAGCTACAATGTCTATTGCAAGGCTTTCTTTATTGCTAAATTGCTCTTTGTAACACTAAATCAATGAAAGCTTAATTACACAAATAGAACTTGGTCATGTTTTGTCCATTGCTGTACGTGATTTGATTAATTCTATTTCATTAAACTCTATTATCACTTTCCAATTTTACCCTTCATTTTAGTATTTCATATTAAAATTAATAGAATAGCTTCCCCAACTTCTCCATCTTTGCACCCTCATCGACAACACGGCCACATTCACCACTACTAAAGAATTGTTCAATGAGCCTGACAGCTTGAAATCGACAAGGTCTCGCCAGTGGCGGAGCTGGTATTGTTCCAAGGTGTTCACATGAACACCCAATTTTTTTTTAATATATGTGTAATATAATAAAAATATATTTATTCTTCTTTAAAATTTTAATTGTAAATACATTGAACACTTAAAAACTAAATCCTAAATCCGCCACTAGGTCTCATCTCTCTCGCCAAAGGTGGTCGTAATCACAACTGCTTCACATCTCTGGCTCGAGTCAGTTTTGGATGGATACATCGGCTACCTTCTGGCAGACCACGGCTTCAGAGTCTATCACTGTGCAATTGTGACAACTACAACTCCACCGACATTCCGATCCTTGGAAACCAAATAGAAGCATTCCAAGGGCACTATAAATGGCCATAAATCAGATGATGAATCAGATCAGCTGATGTTTGCCAATAATATGCATGCCCTAGCTAGGCCCCCCAAGGTAGTTACTCCAACAAACCCTCTAGACCTCTAGTACTGTCCTCACAAACCACCACAAGTCTCTACCATGCATTTTGTGCTTACTTGTGTGCGCCATGAGAAACTTCGTAGGGGGTGACCCATTGATAAGTCCGTATTTCGACACGCATTTGATGCGTGTTAGGATCGGCTTTTGATGGGTTTCCTAGCTTTAAGGTGTTAAGAGTCAATTTTGGCTCAAGCTATGTTTACCAGGCGTTGGTTGGAGTTTTATGTCGTTTAGAGTCAAAATCAGGAATTTAGAGTCCGACACCGACGCTTGAGGAGCAATCGGGATGATTCGAGATGCATCCGAGAGTGGATTGAGAGCTTTGGAGGTCACCGGGAGGTTCACAATGAAGATTTGAAGGCAAAAGAGTTCTAGAATTGGCTACGGGATCAAAAGAAGACGTATAGAGCTTGAAAGCGACGATCAGGATGACCTTCTGTCAATCGTTCCAGCATATCTTTTTGTAGAAACATCAAATGACACGATTCTAAGTTCCAAATGAAAGCTAACTTCAAAGGCTACAAATCATATGAATACACCATTGTGAGAATTTGACAGGAAGAAGGTGAAAACAGACGATGAAGTCAGATGATCCTTGTTGCGACTTCAGAATGCGACCTTACACAATTTTATTCATATCTTTTGATTGGATGATTCAAATATAATTTGGCAAGTTGTGGTGGATAGAGGCAGGGGCGGATCCAGGATTTCATGTCGGGGTGGGCTGAAACACTTTACGTGATAATACATTAAAAAAAATTAAAATTACCAAAAAAATATATAAGAGTTTTCCCCTAAATTTGTTCTCGATGAGGCTTTGAAACAAAAAAAAAAACTCGTCAATAATAGAGTATACATCTATACTAAGAGTAAGATGTTTTTCAATATAACGTATCATGCAATCAGCAAGAAGGTTATCATCCATTTTCGGCGACCCTTTTAATACATACTCAGGGGATGAATTTCTTGGTCACATTTCGGAAAATGAGAAGAGAGTTCCTATTTCGACGCTTGGGGACCTTTGGGATTCCGATGAAAATCGGAATATTTGTGAAAAAGCTTTGTTTGTGACGAGAGAAAATTGTTTGCCTACTGGGAATTTGAACACTCAAACAAAAATGTACAGGAAGAAGAATCAACGATCACATCTTATGAGGACTAGATCTCAAACACGTGTGGGACTTTAAAGACGTGTGAGATCACTTGGGGAGTTGGGGGTTTTTGGGGATAAAGGTCTTTGGGTTGGGTAATATTTGTACTTTTTGTTCTTTTCGTTTTTATCCTTTTCCCTTATGTACTCTTTCTGGCTTTTTTTAATAAAATATATTTTCTTAAAAAAAAAAAAAAAATTATCGTTCTAGTATTGCAGTAGAAACAGTAAGATTAATACAAGGTGAATCAATTTGACCATCATAACGTATGAATCGGATCTTATACTCATAGTCAACTCCTCACATAATTCACTTGAAACTTTGTATCATGAATCACATCATGAGCATAGTGTCGTAGCTCGAATTCCAAAGCATGAATATCATGACTACTAAATTCTTGGGGATAGAACTCCTTGCAAGAGTACAAATAGCATCGACATTGAATGACACGTGAATTTTTGGGATCCAATGAAGCACTCAAAGAAAGGAGTTCCACTGATTTATTATTAAATCAGGTCCTTAACTCCATCAATATAAAGTCTATTGCCTTATTGAAAATATCAAAGTGATAATGATGCTCAACTGTAGTTTCTTATTGGCAACGACCAACCATTCATTTAGAATTCACCTTAGGTACATGAATTTCGTGTTTTGAGTAAAACTCATTTACTTCTTTAAGAAAACATTCTCATCCATTTTATGTCAATTCCCCCGAGAATAAGTTGTGTATTAGAAACATATCTCATGACTACCAAGATATTAAACTATTTTTTTGAAGGACTTGACAAAGAATACTTGTTATTCCATAACTTTGTGCATAAAAAGTAAATTGAACACAGTTTCAAAATATGGAAAGTGTCTATATACATTAAGAACTTCTGTCCGAGAACTCACTTTTGGGCAATGCACTACTTGAAGATACTCAAGCACTTCACAAGTTGTTGTGAACTTGCCATGCCAATCAAGCTCTTAATTGAATCATATGTTATTGTATTTATTACGTTTATGGGTTTTATGGCTCTTATAAGTGGGAGGTGATGTATATACATTTAGATTAGATTTTTAGATGGTTAGATTTTGTTTTATGGGCTAAGCTGAAAAATTGGACTAATATCACTTATCGACAATCTTTTATTCTCAAAATAGAAAGATGAAGTCGCGTACTAATAATTTTCTGCATTGGTGCTGTTTGGCTGCGGTAACGTTTCTCAAAACCAGTTTTAAGCGTCACTACTTCAACTATAAATAAATGAGTATCAATCTCACAAGACCATTTCTCATGGTCTTCCGGTCGGTAGTAAGTAGATGAGATCGAGAAGATGAGTAATATATTATTACTCTCCTCAATCTCATCTACTCACTATCAACCTCTCACGTTCTACAAAGCCCTTATTACTTGAAGGCATAAAACAACAAATGGGCACAACACATAAATTGCAAAATAAGGATTCATTGGTTCGAGAACAAAATTTGGAGCTTGAAAACCAAGCATTCTTATTCTTCTCCGGCTAGCCACTCCCCGTCATTCTCTTCAATATCTTCGATACTGAATAAATTTCAAACATACAATTAAAATAATAGTAATTGCCCTATATGGCTATATGAAATTAAACTTACACTTTAAATCTTCCCTAAATAGAACTAAACATTAGTTTTCTACCCTTAAAACACTTAATCTAATTCTTTAATATAATTAATTGCCTCCAACCTCCAAGGTTCCTTTGCATGACCAGTCAGTCATTGAGTTAAGTTTTTTATGAAATTTTGTGAGGATGTTCTTTATTTTAGGGAACCACATTCAAGACGATCAAACATGGCTAATAGAAGTTCATTGTGTTGCTCGAAACATAGCAGCGGCCCCATAATTACTGGGCCCCCATTTTTGTCGTATTATATTACTAGTATAGTATGTACCGTATTAAATTTTAATACCTAAGTAGTAAAATGATGGTCCTGTATTTTCTATTTGGGGTGTCCCAAACTGATAGTCGCATTTCCCTTTTTGATAAAGAAGTTAAAGTAGACTATCATTTATATCCCTCCTTTTTAATAAACAGTAACAGTAAAGGGGTGAATAGTACAATAAAGTAAGATTACATGGATCTTTCTACCACTTTTTCTTAATATTTGAGCCCAAAAAGTATAAAACCGTCAATTTCGGACGGAGAGTATTAGTTTTATGTTTCTTTAATTAATTCTTATACTCCGTATTTTAATAAACAACTTTATGCTTTTTATATGTTTAAATTAATTATTTTATAGTTTTTATTCAATTTTCATTGAATAAACCGTAGAAGCAAACTATTGACACATGTTAATTGTCTACTCAACTAATTTTTATGTTGTTTAAAACCTTTACTTTTGGTATTTTCTCAATTTCGGAGTATATTTTATTGAAATGCATAATTTTTGTAAATGTATATATAGTTGATTAAATTGTAATATGCTTTTTAATTTACTCCGTATAAGATTGGGGTACGATCCAAAAAAAATTACTAGTACTCCCTCCGTAACATAAAAATCTTCTCACTTTCCTTTTTCGTCCGTAACAAAAAAATCTTCTCATTTCTAAATCTTCTCAGCATACCCTCAATAATTCTCAAAATAATATACTATTACAACTACTTTTTTTGGATTTATCCTACATTCCATCACATTATTCCACTATCTTCCCATCATACCCTCAATAATTCATATACTCTTTCATTATTCTTAATCTACCTACTTTTGAAATGTGAAATGTGAAGGTTTTTAAGTGATGGAGGTAGTATAAGATTGGGATTTCTATCCAAAGCAGGCCGCTCCAAATAAATCATTAGTGAAATGGGGGATGGGGTCGGTGTATAAGATTGGATCCTCCGGCACTGGGGGATGGGGTTTCAGTGGGCCATGCATATTTTGTTTCATTGCTTGATCTCTACCTGCATGCCACAACAAAGAGCCAATAACAACAAGCCTCAGCCGAATGGCTAAGGTTCATAAATAGAAGATGATGATGATGTTGAATTGTTGATTCGACTGACTACTCCACCCTACCTATGTAACACCTTGCATCATTCCGGCATGTAACCCTCACAAACTTACAAAATAAGTTCAAACAAACAATTTCTTTTTATTATGTAGTACTCCCTCCGTCCCTCTAAGTTTGTCCCATATTACCATATTTGATAATATTTGAGTGGTTAGAATTCATTCCTACTTTATTTATACTTTATCAATTCAATATCAACCACACAATCCAACTTTTTCTTAAAAACTACACCACACTCTTTTGTCCCAAACTTAGGGGGACGGAGGTAGTACTATTTATAAATAGAATAATAGAACAATGAATAAATACCACCTTGCACAATGAATAACAATAGAACAAAATGAATAAAGGTAGTTTCTATGGTACCCATAAGGTACCGTACATTTGTCTACATGGACCAATGAAAAGGTAGCAGTTGAATTATTTAAATCTAAATTAAAATTGATAAAGTGATGTGATCCAATCAAATAAATGCTAGGTAAGGTACCTCTGTTTTTAGAAAGGTACCGGAGTTGTCACCATGAATAAATACCACCTTGCACCGTACCCCAATATTATAGGATACACACACATAGGGTAATAGGGAGTGGTTCCAGTGAGAAAGGATTCCCAGGAGAGAAATGAGAATAAATCTAGGCCGTTGGATTGTATTATGTGAAATTGAATTGTGCATTTGAAAAAACGGAAATGTGCATTAAGTGAAATTGAAATGTACAGATGAACAGTAAAACTCAAATGTGTATTACGGGAAATTAAAATGTGCAGGATAAAAGGCACAAAAATGCCACCACACTGTACGTAGTTTTTATTCTACAAATTTCAGTTTCACATAGTGCACATTTCAGTTTCTCCTAATGCACAATTCAGCTTCACATGATACCACATTGTCTTACCTTTTGTACTGCACATTTCAATTTCAACTAATGCACATTTTAGTTTCACTTAATGCATATTCAATTTCATAGAAAACAATCCAACGGTCCAGATTCATTCTCATTTCTTTCCTAAGATCACTTTTTCACTTGAACGTAATTCTATATGTGTGTGGAATTAGAGTTTTTTTACGGTTCTTTCTCTCTTATTCTAGTATTTATTCTATTAAATTAAACATATTTACTCATATGAGTTTTGAACATACGACATTGAGAGTATTTGGATGTCCTAAATTCAAGTTAGAAACTAAAATATACAATAGTATAACCGAAGTAGAAAATATCCGAAATAAGAGTAAACGAAATGCAAAATTTTAGATTATGGGTATTTTGTTTTCCTCAATATTGTCAATCACAAACCTTAGTGGCTGGCTTACTGTCATATTTGAGCATTATGAAACTTTAAAAGTGATAGTATATACTGCATTTAAATGTGACACTGTACTAATTATATACCCATAGGCGAAAATATAGTTTTCCCTTGCATCATATATTCTTGAAAGTCATTTGAAATGTTTGGGGTAATAATAATATACGTAGTACTAAGTAGCAAGTACAATACTACGTACAATAAATCATTAGTTGTGGGGGAGATTTTGTTGTAGCAAGTACAATACAATAAATCATTAGTTGTGGGGGAGATTTTGTTGTGAAACATAATGGTTGTCATGTTTTGTTTTGACACAATTATTAATAGGTCAGGATGGTTATAAAATTAAAAATTGCGATTAAAATTTGATTAGAATAAAGTAAAATGATACGATTCACTTATTTCTTGCCAAATAGTGAAACATGACATTCATTTAGACTAACTAACAATGAAAAATAAGACAATCAAAATAGGAGGAGGGTGTATGCTAGTCAAACATCCTTAAATGAAATTGTTGAAATGTCCCTAAAGTACCATACTTTTGTCCATATGGATTAATCAGAATGATGCAGTAAAATTATGTAAATCTAAATTAATAAAAGATACTCCGTATAATGATTTGGACCAATCAAGTTAATGGTAGATACAATATCTCATTTTTTAAATGGGTGCCGGGTCGTCATCATATACTTCCTCCGTTTTTAAATAAATGCAACAGTCAACATTTCACATTTGTCGAGACACAACTTTGACCATTAATATATATAATTCCCGATTAGTAAAAAAAATTAAAAAATTAATTTTCAAAATTTATAATGAGAAAAATTTAATAATATTTTTTTCAAAAATATATATTATTACATTACACATAGTCAAAGTAGAACATGTGAATAATGCAAAAAGTCTAACGTTGCATTTAAAAGAGTTTTGTGTGTAGTGGGTCCATTAAGATTTTTGTAACCTGCCATTTGAATAGACGTTAAAATATCCCCTGTATATTTCCTTCGTTTTCTTTGATCGCTAGCTTCCATAATCCATCTATTATTATTCCTAAAAACGAAAGAACTGCAGTGCGGGGGAGAAAAATTTACGTACCATGGCAAGGCAGGATTTTGGAAGCATTTATCATCGTGATGACAACGATTAATCTCCTCGTTCAAGTTGGGTTCTTCCAAACAGCCATCATTAAACCACGCAGCAGCCGTGGCCGGGAAGTCCACCGCCTCCTGAAATAATGGATAGCTGCAGCATCCATTGTTATCACCATAAGAGTAGTAATCCTCATCATCATCACCGTTCCTCTTCTTCTTCTCCTTCTCGCCTTCTCCAGGGGACCCAATTTCGACGGTTTTCAAGAACTCCAGCCACAGAGATGAAGTGGCCAAATTCAAGTTTTCATTCCATTCAATCTGCTGTTTCTCCCCTATTGACTTTATCTCTGATATTTCCTTCTCATCCAGGGCGGGATGATGCATATCCTCCGCCGAGGGAGGAAGGCTCGAGGAAGACGGAGACCGATCATCCGCAATTGATGGGCTCACATAATAAGGGGTAGCCTCCAAATTGTCAAAATCTTGGAAATTCAGATTCAGCCCCAAGGGTAGCTGCTGCTGGTTTGCAATATCGATGGTGAGGTTTTCTTGGACCGGCGGCGGCGGGGGCGGAGAAACAGAGTAATAGTAACCCATCGGATGATGATGGTGAGATGGCGGGGACAAGGACGAGGACGAGGAGGAGAAGGGTGGGCAGATAACCCGGCTTCTTGAATCGAACTTCATCATCTGTTCTTGCTGCCGCTCAAATGGTGGCGGCAGCCCTGGATGAGGAGCTGCAGGAAAGCTGCAGCTCCTCTCCAATGGCCGCCTCTCTGCGGGTTGTTCCCCTTGCTGCTGCTTCTGTTTCATGGCTGCTCTGTGGAACTTAAGGGCGGTCACTATTTCCCGCCTCGCCTCCGCCATGTTTAGAAGCCTTTCTTGATACGGTCTGGTGGTATGGAGTCTTCTCCGGGCTTGTTTTTTGCGTTGTGGCGGCGGCGGTGTGGCCGCCAATACTTCTGTAAACCCATCTCCCGAGGAGGAGGAGGAGGAAGTCAGCTGCAGCTTCACGAGGCTCCGAATATATGCACCAGAAAGAGGAGGATCTTCTGCTCTTAAACTCTCGATCTTTTTTTCTATTCCCACCAACCCTGCTTTACTTCCTTCCCTTGAATATCTTCCTCCCTTCATTTTATGATTGATAATAATAATTTCGGTCTCTTTTGTATGGTACCCGATATATAAAAAAAAAGGTGCAATTTTTGTTGTCAGTACAAACGACCTGCCGGTTGAGGCACAAGGTGCCAAGGACATGTGAATGTGTATAAATACTAGTACAACGATACTTTCTAATTTGGGTCGTAACAGGCTGCTCGGGCTTTTATTCATTTTGGAACTTTTCCCATTTAAGAAATAAAAACTTTGTCAAGTTTAATCGAATTATTAAAATAAAAACTGTTTGGTTTGAATCTTGTGCAGAGGAGAAAGAATTAACTGAACCTGTAAATATTTTACTTAAAGACAAAGTGACAAAGTTAGTGGACATTGAAAAAAAGAAAGTTGACAAAATTTTAAGGAAAGCTAGTGACTAGGTTTTCATCCATGTTAGGAATTTTATCATAACATTTTGAAAATTCAAAATAGAATTCTCACATTTTTAATCTTAAAATAGCACTAATTGTTACTCCATTCATCTCTTAAAAATTAGTGAAGTTTGACCTGCATGTGAAATAATAAAGTAACAAATTGTGTGGTTGATGAAGTTTGTGAAGAGAAGATCGAATTAAGGGATCCAAAATTAGTGTCATGTTCAGTGGCAAAGCTAGTGAAATATCCAAAAAGTAAAAGTTAACAAAGTATCAAGGGACGAAAAACGTACTAAACTTCTCTTCAAAAAAATTGGAAACTACTGTCATATTTAAAGTTTGATAAAATCCAAACATCACAATAATTATTTCTACCCGGTGAGTAAAAATTATGAGTCCAAGTTTATACTTTAATTTAGGATAATTTCTTTATTTAGTACCACTTGTATCTATGAAGCTAGTCGCTAGGTGATCCCACTATTTCTTATATGAAGATGGTCGCTAGGTGATCCACTGAAAGAGCCAAACATTTTTAGATGACGACTAAGCGGGTTGAGATACCATTATTGGAAATAGTTGATCGAAGGTGAGTAGTGAGCCGCCTGGAGAAGATGCGAATTAGAAATCTTGGGTTTTCATGTTATCAAATATTCAAATAGGAGGTCATAACAGTTCCAAAGTCATATTTAAGGAATTCTAAATATATAAAGTCTTGTGGTAATTATTATTACCGTAAATAATAATAATGTAATATATAGGGATTATTTTGTAATTTTCTATAACTATGTTTTATTATAAATACAAGGCTAATGCATTCAATAAGGTAAGCTATTATTCCCAAAATCATATTTCTGTATATGGTATCAGTCGTTAAGTTTTTTCCCTTTCTCTCTCATCATGAACGGCTTAGGCAATACTGCTGCCGCCTCCCAGGCGCTCTCCATGCAGTATGAGCAGCCGCCGGTGATTACTGAGCTCCGGTCCCAGGCGCCCTCCACCCCGGTGCGGCCTACTTCATCAATCATCGTCAGCACAACTCAGACAGAATCCAGGTCCAACAACGCCGCCAACTCGCACGCAGCTTCCCTTCTCTTCTCCATGACGACTGCATCGCTGCCATGGTCCCCGCTCGCCCCGTCTCTTCGACAGTGTCTTGATTCTCAGCCTCTTGATTCATATCGATTGTTGGCATGCTGGCACTGTTTTCATGGACACCGACAGCAAGTCTGCCACCACCACCGATCTTGAACGCCCCTCCAAAAATTGGTCCCTCCTCCACGAGATTCGCCGGTCCGACCTTCACTGCCCAGTCGCAAGTGACCTCTCTGCCGCACGAACATGCCTCGGCCAAGCCGGGCTCTACACAATTTACAGGTTCTTTATCTGCTTTATCTTCACAATTGGCTTTCTCTACGCCGAATGTGACTAATATTGTTACTAGCCGACTTTCTTCCGTGGAAGATTATTTACCGTGGCGTACCCAATTTGAGTCATTCTTGGTCTCTCACAGTCTTTTGGGGATCCTAGATGGCTCAATTTGGGTACCGCTCGTCACGAATTCAGACTATCACCACTAGTTGAAAATCGACCAAACGGTTAGGTCTTGGATTTTTGCTACTTTGGCTAGGGATATTTTGATGGAGGTATATGACTTGAAATTTTCTCATCAAATTTGGGAGCGTCTTGAAATGCATTTTATGTCTGCCTGTTTTGCTCGGTCTGTTGAACTTTAAGAGGTCTTTGTCACATTAAAAAGAAAGAGTCACAGACCATGGACCAATATCTGGCTGAAATTAAGTTGATTGTTGATGCACTTGCTATGATTAATTCCCCTATTAGTAACCGTGACTTGATGGAATATGTTATTTTGGGTTTGGGACGTGAATATGAATTTCTTATCACAACTATATCCTATTTTTCTGGGAATGCTACATTGGAGTCTCTGCGGCCGATTCTTCAGGCACAGGAGCACCGGTCCGCTACCGCTCAATCCCAAGATCCGTTCACCGTTCATCAAGCCTTCGCGACAGTTCCAGCACCCCAAGGCCAAGGGCCTGCTCCACGTGGATATGGTGCAGGAGCACCTCGGGGACACGGCGGTCATGGCAAGCGAGGCGGCAGACCTCAGGACGGTCGCGGCAGGGGTGGCCGAGGGCAACATCAACAGTATCAGCAACATTTTGGAGGTTATCCGATATATGGGGTACCTTACGGGCCGCCGGCTCCTCCACGTGACATCCATACCCTGGTGGCGCAGGTTTGGTATTTAGTAATGTTAGTTCTGGTAATACTTTTACTAATGACTTTCCTACTTGTGTTACTCGTAATGTTAGTGCAGGTTTTCCATCTGTTGAGAACTCCTATCCATCTCCTGCTCTGCCTATTGTTTGTCAGCTTTGCTTCTCTCCAGGTCACTCCGCCATCACTTGCTCCTGTTTCACCTCTCAAAATACTCCTGCTTTTGCGGCTCTTCCCACTAGTGAGACGCATGATTCGGTCTGGTATCCTGACTCTGAGGCTTCCGCGCACATGACTCTGCATGAAGGTATTTTATCTTCCAAATTTACTTATACTGGCCCGAATCAAGTTTGTTTTGCTAATGGTACTAAATTACTTATTTCTAATATTGATCATGTTAAATTAATCACATCTGGTCGCCCGCTACATGTTAATTCTGTTTATCATGTCCCACACATTAAATACAATTTACTCTCTATACAAAAATTGTGTGCGTATAATGCCTGTAAAGTGATTTTTGATAAAAATTGTTTTTCTGGACAATCAAACGGGGGAGCTTCTTCTTCAGGCCACTAATAAAGATCATGTCTACCCTTTTACTGCCCTTCTAGCCTGAGTTGTACCTGGTCATGTCTGGCACAAGCGTTTAGGACATTGTAGTGATAGAGTTATTTGTACTCTTAGGCAAAATAAATTAATTAGTAGTTCTTCAACTTTTACTCATGATTATGTTTCATGTAAGTTGGGTAAATCCCACAAACTTCCGTTTTCTGATGTTATTCATGATACCTTTGCACCTTTGGAAATTATTCATTCTGATGTTTGGCAGTCACCAATTGTTTCTAATCTGGGTTTTAAATATTATGTGTCATTTATTGATGATTTCTCTAGATATACCTGGGTTTATCCCATGCGTAGGAAATATGGAGTTTTTACACATTTTATTACTTTTCAAAAACTGCTTGAAACTCTTTTGAATGCCAAAATAAAAAAATTCAAAGTGATGGAGGGGTGAATTTGATAACTCTCTATTTAACACGCACTTTTTAAATTCAGGCATTTTATTTAGAAAATCTTGTCCTCATACTCCTACTCAAAATGGGGTGGCTGAACGCAAACATATACATTTACTCAAATTAACTAGGACCTTATTGATTGATGCTTCTATTCCTAGTCATTTCTGGGTAGATGCACTCTACACCGCCACATTTAAAAAAAAGCACTCTACACCGTCACATTTATTGTTAATCGTTTACCTACCCCCGTTTTGCATGGAGTATCTCCATATAAAAAACTCTTTAATAAATTGATTGATTATAATTTTATGTGTGTATTTGGTTGCTCTTTCTTTCCTAATTTTATTGCTGCCTCCCACAATAAGCTATCAGCACGTTCTTTTTTTTTTTTTTTTTTTTTTTTTTTTTTTTTTTTTTTTTTTTTTTTTTTTCAAGTAATTGTCGATAATGTAAGCATATCAATTTTCAACATTATGATCGATCAATCAGAAATACCTCATACTCCGTAAACATTAAAACCCTTCCACAAAAGAAAATGCACTCTAAATTCCGGAAAGACCAAAACTAACAGTGTAAGATCCGATTACTTTTGAGGTGGGCCAACAGAGGGAGGTTGAGAAGTGCCGAAGAGACTGGCCTGCTGGAGATCGAGTTCGTTGAGCTGCTGCTCCCGGTCCATTACAATGATGAGTGGGACGGCGATGATAAGAAGAGTGGTGGCGGCGATCCACGCCGCCTTGCCGGTACTCTTGGCCAAACGCTTGCTTACGTATGCGGCGTCAGAAGCGGCGCTCTTTCCTTTGCGGACTATTGAAGACTCCGAGACACGATTAATAATGGAGCGGTCGCTGCTGCTGCCGCCGCCGCTGGATTTGCCTTTGATTGCCATTGCAGAGTGCCGTGATGGGTATCGTTGTAGAGTTGCTCCGGGTTATAAAGGGTATCGTTGCTTATCTCCTTCCACAGGACGGGTTTATGTCAGTCGGGATGTAATTTTTCACGAAAATAATTTTCCCTATAACTCTTTAGTTAGCTCATCCTCTTCCTCGACATCAACTTTTCCCTCTTCTTGCTATCCTCTTCGGTCTCCGATCACAATCGGAGGACTGCTGTCCTACCAGCTCTACCGGCCCTACCATGTACTCTCCAACCGACCTGCAGCTACCAAAATACGACCTCCCCATCGACCCCTATGACCTGCAGCTCATCCCCGACTTCCCTGTGCAGCACACCTGCTGTCGCAACACCCAGCAGCTCCCCTCCATTGCAGGCCACCCCAGCAGCCTCTTCCCTTCGACTCGATCATCCTGCCAGTCCCCACACCATGCCAACAACCTCTTCTCCCTCGTCCCTCACCAGTGACCGTGGTCACACCTTCTCCCAGGCCTCGGCTTCAGGTTCCCCGATCTCACATGCCCCGGTAAATGTTCATCCAATGCGTACACGCGCAAAGGATGGCATTTTCAAACCCAAAAATATTTTTAGCTTAAGTGTTTTATCTCTCCCGGATGATCCTACTTGTTTTACACAAGCAAATAAGAGTTTTATTTGGTGGGCTGCCATGGCGGATGAATTTAATGCCTTGATTAATAATAAGACTTGGGATTCGGTACCTTGGGACCCTACTAAAAATGTGGTTGGTTGTAAGTGGATTTGTAAGACAAAATATTGTTCTGATGGATCTGTGGAGAGGCATAAAGCCCATTTAGTTGCTCAAGGCTTTAAACAAGAAGCTGGTGTTGATTTTAGTGAAACTTTTAGTCCTGTCATTAAGCCTACCACTGTTCGTCTTCTTTTATCTGTTTCTATTTCTTTGGGCTGGTCTGTTCGTCAGTTAGATGTGAAAAATGCCTTTTTACATGGTGCCTTAACTGAGGAGGATTACATGCGCCAACCTCAGGGCTTTATCCATCTTTCTTATCCTTATCATGTTTGTCGACTTCGTAAGGCTCTGTATGGTTTGAAACAAGCCCTTCGGGCTTGGTTTCATCACTTCAGTGGTTTTTTGTTGAGTGATGGTTTTTCAGAGAGCAGGTCTAATTCATCCATGTTCATTTATCGTACTACTTCCCGGGTGGTTTATATTCTTTTATATGTGGATGATATTCTTATTACAAGCTCTTCTGCATCCTTTGTTTCCTCTATCATAAATACTTTATGTCATCAATTTGTGATGAAGGATTTGGGGGATGTCCATTATTTTTTGGGTGTTCAGGCTAAACGTACACCTAAAGGTTTATTCTTGTCACTGGCAAAATATATATCTGATCTCTTACGTCGTTTTCATCTTCATACTGTCAAACCTGTTCATACCCCCTACCTTCACGCACTACACTCTCTCACAGATGGGGAACTATTATCTGATGTTACTGAGTATCGCAGTATGGTAGGTGCTCTTCAGTATCTAACTATTACTAGACCTGATATTACTTATGTTGTACACGTTGTGTCTCAGTTTATGTATGCTTCACGTACTACTCACATTTTGGCAGTTAAGAGAATCTACAGGTATTTGCAGGGTACCAACACTCATGGCTTATGGTTACGAGCAGATAAAAACATCTCAGTTGTTACGGCTTACTCTGACGCAGATTGGGCAGGCTGCCCTGACAACTCGCGTTCGACTATAGGGTATGCGGATTTTCTGGATTCCAATTTAATCTCGTGGCGGTCCAACAAACAACCGACGGTATCCAAGTCTTATACTGAGGCCGAGTACATGGCTATTGCATACACTGTCCTGGACACACTTTTTATCCGATCACTACTAGCAGATATGGGCATATTTATTTCGGCACTAGTGCAGCTTTTTTGTGATAATGTCTCAGCTTCATACTTGGCAGTTAGTCTTATCAAGCATGATCGGAGTAAGCACATTAAAATTGACTACCATTTTGTTCGTGAGCGAGTAGCACATAGAGATCTTGTGGTGAAGCATATTCTTACACATTTGCAGTTAGCTGATATCTTCATCAAGAACTTATCTAGTTAGCGTGATTTCCCCTGCACAATTTGAGGGGTGTAATAATGTAATATTTAAGTATTACTTTGTAATTCTCCATAACTCTGTTTTATTATAAATACAAGGCTAAGGCACCCAATCAGTGGCGGAGCCAGAAATACGGTCCAGGAGGGTCGAGAATCAACTTTATACAAAATGAAAGCGGTGGATCGTTTCCAAACAATGTCCGAGTTGAATATTTTATATGTAGTTTAGATAAATAGGCACTTGTAACAATAAAAGAGACTGTTTTTGCTCTATTTTTGAGTCATGTCACGTAAGTAATGAGTTAATTATACGCTGTTTTTAAAATTTGGGGGAAAAAATCAATATCACTCATCAAATTTTGTTGATTTTACGTTTAGATAGTGCTGATTTTGCAGAAGTCGTAACTTTTTACTCGTAATGAGTTACGGGGGCCATAATATATCAAATCGAAGATATTTCAGAGCTCTATGCTCTCAAATTTTCAGCGGGGTCGACTGACCCCCCTGACCCCCCCTTGGCTCCGCCCCTTCACCCAATAGGGTAAGCTATTATTCCCAAAATCATATTTCCGTATAAATAAGACTAAAACATAATTGCATAAATAAGACTAAATTAAAACTTAAATCTTTCACAAATAGGTCTCATCAATTTCCTACCCTTTTCACCTCTAATCTAATTAGTTAATTGCCCTCTAGTTCCCTTGGACAACTGGAACAGTCTGTTGGTGAAGGGACAGTCCAGTCGTGGCGGCGGTGATCAGCGGAGGCAATTGTCGGGGAGCTCCGTGTGAGAATAATGGAAAGGCTTACCCAATCGGTAGCCTTAGGTGTCATATATATAATAAATAATGTTCTGAATACAATAGGAAACTTAATATTTAAGGAAACCTAATTAAAGTATTAATTGCTCTATTACACCCCCTCAATCTATGCAGGGGAAACAACGCGCAGATTGTCTCTAAGAAAAATAAAACGCTGAGGTGACAAACATTTGGTAAATATGTCTGCAAGCTGAAACTTAGTAGGAACATGTCGAACTACCAAATCTCCATGTGAAACTCTCTCTCGAACAAAGTGATAATCAATACTGATGTGCTTGCTTCGAGCATGCTGAATAGGATTTGCGGACAGATATGAGGCCGAAATATTGTCACACAGGAGCTTAACTGGCCGAGTAAGCGGAACCCCTAATTCAAACAAAATGGAGCGAATATGAAGAGTGTCCTGAACAGTATATGCAATAGCCCGATACTCAGCTTCTGTGGAAGAACGGGACACAGTAGGCTGCTTCTTGGACTTCCAGGAAACCAAGTTAGGGCCGAAAAATATAGCAAAACCGGAGGTGGATCTACTACTATCAGGACACCCGGCCCAGTCAGCATCAGAATATGCCTGTAAAATAGGAGAAGTATGGCTCGGCTGTAGAAGCAAACCGTGAGCTGAAGTGCCCTGGAGGTACCTGAAAATACGCTTCACAGCCAAAAAATGTGAAGTACGAGGGGCATGCATAAATTGGGAAACCAGGTGAACAGCAAATGTAATATCAGGTCTAGTCATAGTTAAATACTGCAAAGCACCTACCATACTTCTATACTCAGTAAGATCCGCAAGAAGATCACCATCAGTGAGAGATAACTTTGTTCGTGTAGGAAGTGGAGTACGAACAGGTTTAAGGGTATGAAGATGAAACCTGGTTAATAAATCAGAGACATATTTTTGTTGTGATAAAAACAGACCAGAGGGTAAACGAACAGCTTGGACACCTAGGAAAAAATGTAAATCCCCCAAATCCTTCATAGCAAAACAACGACCAAGACAAGAAATAAATGTGGAAATAAAGGTAGGGGAATTACCGGTAATAATAATGTCATCCACATACAGAAGGAGATAAATAATGTTCGACCCATGTCGGTAAATAAATAAGGAATTATCTGATTTGCTACACACAAAACCATGAGTCAACAAAAAACTGCTAAACCTGTAAAACCAGGCTCGAGGAGCCTGTTTAAGACCATAAATAGCTTTCTTTAGACGACACACATGGGTAGGAAACTGTGGATGAACAAAACCAGGGGGTTGACGCATGTAGACCTCTTCAGTCAAATTACCATGAAGAAAAGCATTTTTAACATCTAACTGACGAATAGGCCATTTGAAAGACACAGCAAGAGATAACACAATACGAACAGTGGTAGGTTTAACAACAGGACTAAAGGTCTCAGAAAAATCCACACCAGCCTGTTGAGTAAATCCTTGAGCTACCAGACGTGCTTTATGACGCTCAACAGACCCATCTGAATTAAATTTGGTCTTATAAATCCATTTAGACCCGACCACATTTTTACGAGGATTAAATGGAACTAATTCCCAAGTATGATTATCAATTAGTGCATTAAATTCCTCAGCCATAGCAGCCCTCCATTTAGCATCTTTATTAGCTATAGAAAAACAAGATGGATCACATGCCGAAATATCTGTTTTTAGATTAAAAATAGATTTTGGTTTAAAAATACCCGATTTAGCACGTGTTTGCATAGGATGACAATTTATCGGGAAAAGTGCATGTGGTGAAGGGGGTTCAGGTGGGCTGGAGCTGCTGGTAGGAGGAGAAGTAGTGGCGGATGTAGTACTGGAGCGGTCGGATGGGGCTGTTGGTGTAGCAGGAGGAGATGAAGTGGTCTCGGCTGGGGAAGATGGGTTAGGAGGAGCAGAGAGCTGATGATTGTGAGGTGGTGGTGGTGAGGCCGAGCGTGTTCGGTTGGGTAGGAGTCGGCCAGGAGAGGCTGAGCTGCGACGGAAGTCTGGTAAGGTGGGGGAGATGGCCGCAACAGGTAGAAAAGTGCCGGTAGGTGAATGAAGACTGGCAGAAGTAAACGAGGATACTAGAGGCAGTTCGCTATTTTTGGCAGAGGAAACCAAG